TTTCTTCAAAGAACAAGAAGTTGTCTTCATATTTGAATTTAGAAGATTCTTTAGGAAGGTTGTTGATAATACATTTGATATTAAGAATAAGAGGGTCAATAATTGAGGCTTTACAAATCTAATCAAGAAATGATAAATCGATAGGTATTGATATATTGGTTGCTCAAAGATGAAATTGTTCAAGTTTTAACAAGGTTGTTTGTTGCTCATTATATGCTACCTTGTCTAATTTTGGTTCGAGGTTAGAATATCTTGATAATGCATTTGATAACCCTTGTTGATTCTCGGGTCAATACATGATGCAAAAATCAAATTGTGATAAAAATATACTCCAATGCACTTGGCAATGATTCAAGACTTGGGTTGATATGAAGTATTCAAGATTCTTGTAATATATATATATATATATATATAGTCACTTGATGAGAGGCACTTTCAAGAAAGTAGCACCATTCTTCAAAAGAATCTATGATAGCAAGCAACTCTTTATCCTGGATTTTGTAATTAATTTCTATCACTGAGAATTTTTTAAAATAAAATACAATTAGATGAAGTTTGTTATCTTCTCCATATTGCGACAAGACTCCTTCCAATGCAAAGTCTAAAGGCATTGATCTCCATAAAATAAGGCTTGTTGAAATCTAGATATATCAAAATTGGAGTTGTTGTAAAAGTATCTTTTAAGCTTTGAAAAACTTTCTCTGCTTCAGGGCCTCAATTTAGCTTTTTCTTGCATGTCAATTGTATAAGTGGAGTAGTAATCTTAGAATAATTCTTAACAAAAATTCTATAGAAGTTTACAAATCCAAGAAAGCATTAGATATCATGTATAGTTTTTGGCTTTAAGCAATCAATGATTGCTTGTACTTTCTTTGGATCCATAAAAAAGCCTTTGTTGGAAATAATATATTCAAAAAATTTGACTTGAGGTACATAAAATATACTCTTCTTCAATTTTGCATATAGTTGAGCACTTCGTAGCTTTTCTAGCATAAGGCGGACATATTTTTTGTAGTCTTTTGGATTCTTAAAAAAGATTAAAATATCATCTAAATAGATCAAAACAAAGTCATCTTGATGCTTGCAAAATATTTCATTCATTAAGTGTTGGAATATGGCTGGTGCATTGGTAAGTCCAAAAGGCATGACATTGTATTCAAAATGTCCATACTTGGTACAAAATACTATCTTCCATTCATCTCCCTCCTTAATGCGTACCAAGTTATAAGTGCCTCGTAGATCAATCTTTATAAAGATCTTTGCTTACCTAAGTTGATCAAGAAATCCAAATATCTATGACAATGGATATCAATTTTTTACTGTGATTTTATTAAGACTGTGATAATCGACACACATTTGTAAAGATCCATCTTTTTTCTTCACAAATAATATTGGAGCACTAGTTGGTAACTTGGAATGTCGAATAAAATTTTTAGCTAGATTTTTTTCAATATACTCCTTTAAAGTCACAAGCTCATTCTAGGATAAATTGTAGATGGGTCCAAATGGTGGTTGAGCACCTTCTTGAAGGTCAAACATACAATCATAAGGGTGATGCTTTGGCAGGATGTTCACATTTTTCTTTTCAAATACATCTGCAAAATCCTTATACACTTTTGAAATTTCAACCACAGATTTTGATTGTGTAGCAACCGTAGGTTTTGATTGTGGATTTGCATAGATAGCAAACGTAGTACCTTGTTTGGCCGCCTTCACAAATGTTTTAGCTCTAATAAATAAATATTGTTTAAGTTTTGGCTTATTGGGTGTTAGAAGCCTTTTCATAGATCTGGAGGTTCTATGATCTACTAGAGAAAATTCTAACTTTCAAAATATCCAATCTATCCATGGATTGTATTTTTCAAGCCATGAGAGTCCTAAAATGACTAGACTTGATGGTGATCTAATGATGTTGAATACTACTTAGCTGCTATGCTTGTCAAAGGTTATTTCTAAAAGAATCATTTTATGAGTGACATCTTTAGAAGATAAAGGTCGACCATCTATTACTTCTACATGTACGGCTTTGGATTTTTTGACCATATAGATTTTGTGTGATCTAGAAGATTCTTCATCAATAAAATATGCAGAGGCTCATAAGTCAAGTAATGCATGACAATCTAGTTTTGTGACTGCTAACCATACATGTATAGTAAAACAACAAGAAGAATTAGTAGAAAGTACAAGATATTTTTTGGTTTGTGATAGTGAAGAATCTAATCGCATAGTCCATACTGTGGCTGGATGCCTTCGTTTTCCTGCAATGCTTTGGATGATGTGGCCATACTCCTCATTTGATATATAGGCTGCCATTTCTGTGAACAATTGTTAATCTTATGGCCAAATATAAACATAAGTAAAGTTCCCTTTGATGCTTTTTTTCTTGCTCAAAAAGAGGTTTGAAGAAAATTGCATCAATCTGCATATCTTTTGCTTCCAACTGCTCATTAGAATTGGATAGTAAAGAAGATGCAGAATAATTGGTGTATACATGTGGCATAATTGAAGAATGTTTGTCTTATTGTCATTGAAATAAATGATTATCGTACTTCAAAACTTAATTAATGGCTTCATTAAGTATTAGAGGACTTGGCATAGACAACAATAAGTCCTTGACATCGTCTTTTAATCTCTAATGAAATTGACTCATCAATGCATCTTTTCCCTAATTCATATTACATGCTAATTTTCAAAAATTTGAGGCATACATTGATGCAAAGTGCGTTCCTTCTCAAAGACTTTGAATTCTAGGTGTTGAAGAATAAATCTTATCATGTTCACCAAATGCTTCTACAAATGCTGCGAAAAATGCTTTAAAATTGTACAATATAGGAATTATTTTTTCAAATAATGAGACAAACTAGGATAAAGCTTGACTTGAGAGCAAGATTCCAACCAAACCAATATGAGAGGCTTCAGGGGAATATCATTGAGTTTGAAGCAAAGTGATTAGTTGTACTTGGTTTATAAAGCCATGAAATTTTGAGCGGGTGCCATTGAACTTTTTTAGAAGGCTGATTCTTAGTTCTTTTGTTGTTATTGTTGTCAGATCATTGCCTTGAATGGATGCACCTCCCATTTTTAAAGTAAATATAGTCGTTTGAGAATTTGGAACCTCTGCTGCAATTTGATATGGTGGTTGAGGCACTCCAGCTCCTTGACCATTATATATGGTTATATATAGTTCTTTATTGTGCTTTGACAAAGTCTCTATCTTAATCGTCAATACTTCAAGAGCATTAATAATAGCATCTAAGTTGATCTCTTTTGAGTATGTTATATTGACTTTTCCACCTTCTACTATAGAAAATCAGAGAAACACACGCCTTCAAAAAAAAACCTGATCTATGATATAAAGAAAAGAAACCAAAAGAATATTAAGAAAAGAATAATATTACTCTAGGAGAGGATAATTTGTAACCTTTAGAATGCTATAGTACTTCCAAGAAGAGGCGTAATCCACTCTCTGTCAAGAAAGATCAAGCTCGTAATATTGTTTTATGTCAATCTCGACAAATTGTTAGGGACCATATATAAGACAAGGATTCAAGATCAAAAAATATTATATTTTTAGTCATAAGATTCACAAGGTTCACAATACCTAATGGAGGATCAAATGGTTTCCATGTTTTGAGAGTAATATAAATTTTTTGGTCCTTACTATGTGTTTCTTTTGAATTTATTGAAGATTATGCCTAAACTTTGTACTAATACTTTGGCATTATTTTTAAATTTGTCTAAGAATAATTTTAATCTTATCCATATTAGTATCTTCATCTCTATAAGTTAAGTGGAATTGAAGCTTAGAATCTGTAGCTAAAAGTTATAAGTACTCCAATGGGAGATGTGAAGCAAATGCATCAACAACTATTCAATAGTGACATCTTTATTACTAATTACTTGAAAGAAGACATTGCCAATTTTTAGTCCTAATTTGAATTCTTTTGCAATTTTTTTTGTAAAAGGTGGGAGGTCAATCTTATAAAGTCTTAAGCAATTGTTTGCTCCACACAAAGTAGGCTATCAATACTTGCTTCTAAAAGTATTCTATCTTTTGTTACACCTTAGCTTTGCTCAATGTAATCTATAAGATTCTATTAATAAGCAAAAAACCTTTATTAGTGCAAAATAAACCTTCAAAGAGAAGTTCACTTGGAATTGCTCATGTAGGGTGGATTTTTGCATTTTTTTTTCCATAAAAGCAACTACTATGATAAATTATAACTCCACCCTATCTTTCGTATATACGTGTTTTGCTTGCCACGGCTCTTCCAATACCATGGGCAACATTAACACATGCTCCATCCATATCTTTAATGTTATAGAATAAATTATTCTTAATATCATCCTTATACACAGCTATATAGGACTCCTATGCTCCTTCTGTTACAACTTAGGATTTGAACAAACTATTCAAGTTTTCGATCAAACATTGTAGATTTGATAAATCTAAATCCTAATCTATTCTATTTTTAGCTGGTATCATCTTTACAGAGATATGCTTATGTTGAAGTTACGAACTCCTTGGACAATATGCAAGACTTCTACAGATTGGATTTAATATAAAATTTCAAGACTCAATGCATGAAACTACACTTGTTCATATCAATCCTCACATTTGTGCAAAGGAGCTTGCTAGAGCCTTATCTTGCCAATAATCATGGCTAGGATTTTTCAAAACCAAATTTTTTAGTATCATTTTGATTTGTTGTTGTAACAAATTCCTTCAAACCATTGCAAAGTTACATAAAGTCAACATTTATGGTCATCATGCTATGTGGAGTGACAACTTCTTATTTTGAAAAGAAGTATCATTTCAAGGAGTGATATTTATTGAAGATATGCTGATGTTATTTGTCATACTTGAGAAGATTCATTTGACTACTATTGATGACGGTTTAGAATATTGCTTGCAGAAGAATGTTCTTTTGGCTTTATGTAAATTTATTCAGTGTGCACTTTACAAAAATTGAAAAATGGTATGTTTGACAGATGGCAGATCCTTCAAGAGATAATATTTAGAAGTAATTGTTAGTTTTTTGAAATTTGTCACTTATGCACATATATGCCTGATTCTCTGTGCTGTGTATCTAACAATTTTAAGACAACAATGATGTACATAATGTTTCATACTTCATGCAACCTTTAGAAAAGAGTTCCCTACTTTTTACACTTCCCAATGTGGACGTAAGTAGAACGAAAATATTACTTCAAGCATTGTGCAGCAGTTCAGTACTCTGGCGGTGGAAGCACTGCTTTTTGCATATCTAAATTAGAGATCCGAACAGTCCCCAAAAGTTTCTCTGGTAGCTCCTCTTCTGTGTTAGCCTGCAAATTAGTTCAGTAGCACAAATGTTCAGAAGTGGTTGGAAAGGGTTCTACTTCAAATGCCAGAATTGAATCTAGTCACAGAAGTTGTCTACACAGAAGACCTAGTTGCAAGGACCGATCAGCACAAAGAACGTTGATTTTGCAATTGGCATTTACTATTTGAAGTTTAGGAAAATAAAACAAAAGATTCTTTCGGAGAGAAATGTTCTTGATGAACAGTAGAGGTTCAAAATCACTAGGTCTGCAAGTACACCATTTTGGTCGTGCGCATTCTGAATCTCTTGTAGGAGAAATAAAGTCACCATATCATGTTAATGGAAAAGGACTGGGAATCAAAATACCTGAATGAGAAAGGCCATCTCTATGACCAACTTTGTAACATAACCAGTCACGAGATTGACCACTCCCCTCGCGACTGATGACGATCCAATGTCAATGTCCAACTGCAGAAAAGACAGTCATCAGTTTTACTACTGATAGAAATATCAATAATACTCCCAAATTGTGCCCCACACTATTAGATACACATTCAAGATCAAGTTAAGAGAGATCACCTCCAAGTAGTTATCGCTGGAGAAGTAGGTGATGTCCAGAGCTTCCCCCACCAAGCAAGCTGACTTCCCTACACTCTGCTTCACGATCCATGGTCCCTGGAACCAACTTATACACTTGATACTTAAGAAGGACCCAAATGAGTTAAGTACATACTTCAATGAATTATGCACTGGTGGAAGAGAGTTGCTTCAATCTCCTCGTAAGTCCGACGCATCCATAAAAGCAAATAGCTGACATCAGTTCAACGAAAAACATGTGCCATGTGCATATTTTCCACTTTATGCTCGATTATGTGATGGGACATTGCTAGAGTATATCAACGATCAACGAGGAGAACTCAATTTCTGTGTAAATCAACTGACCGACACTGCTTGTTCTAAGAAGGTTTCAGTGGTTAGATCTATTACAAACCTTGGCGACATAAGGGCAGAGTTTGAAGCGGCAGGCACGATAGCGATTATCACCACGAACAAAGTTTTCGAGCAGTGGAATATCCTGAAGGCGCTTGTTGGTCATGTAGTAAAGCACTAAGCTATACGTAGGTGTGCCTGGTACCTGCAATCACATTTTTTCTCCTCATCAATTGAGGCATTTCACCACGTTTTCATCAAGCTTAGTTAAAGTTTTTTAAAAAAACATGGAAGTAAAAAGAATCCAGCCGAACGACGGTCGAAAAAAAAATGAACAGAAGAGCAGTGAGAAATCCATTAGTATTCATGCTCATGGCATCCTAATATCCCACATGGTCACGTCTAAACTCTGAGACTTAATTACATTAATGAACTCACTTGGAGATTGATGATCACAAAATATGAATCCGCCACCTCATGAGCATTCTTCTGCCACCCCCAATCTCCTAAAAAGGTCAGTTATTACAACCAGTATACCCGCAAGCGAGATTACATAGAGACCAAAAAATTGGTATGCGTTATTCAGGTTGAAGATTAGGAACCCATCATGTACGGGCAGGTATGCACACCGAAGTCAGCAATAAGTTAGAAAATTACAACCACAAGCATCGAAAAACCACACTGAATAATTCGGAACACTTGCTTTCAGCACACCAGCAAGACCTCTGCATTCAGGAAGACAAAACGAAAAAACTCAAAAGCTCTGGGCCCGCAACGTTTAGACTTCGAGCGGAGTATAAGAAGTACCTGTTTAGCGAAGAGCTTTTGAATTACACATCCATCATGAGCAGCGATATGATCCTCACGTTTGTCAGACTTGAACCAGTCAGCAGCTACCAACTGCATTAGTGGAGTTCCTGCCTTCACCTGAGCATCAAAGTGACAATTAAATGATCTAAAAGTCAACGTGAAACCAAGTTTGTAAAAGAATCGTAATTCAACATATTTTCCGTCAGCATGGAAACATCCTAAATTGAAGAACAAAAGAAGAATCAAAACAAAATATGTGTTATGCCACAGCTGAAGTGTAGGGAGGAGCTTCACATTTGAGGAATTAAAGAAGTTGAAAGTCACCTTCTTATGGTCCCTAAGAAAGTGCTTTCCGCGGATTAGGAAGGTTCCAGGCTCAGCAGGCTCCCAATAAACAGAACCCAACGACGATTCCCGATTCATGAACTCCACGTCTGCTTCATCAGCCAGCTTTCTTAATGACCTTGAAAATGAAGGGTGTCTTGGACCTGAACAATATCAATATGTGTCAGAATTTCAGCAATAATGAAGATGATCTTTCATTACATTCAAATTCAAATCACATGTTTATTCTTTAGGTTGTTTTACGGTACCTGAGGCAAGGTCCTGAATTCGTTTAACAATTGTTGCAGCCTTAGATACAGCTTTCTGGGGAGCCTGCACACGCATATAACTGTTAAAAGTATCTTTAAAAAGCATGAAATACGATTATGTGTGCCAAAATGAGGCGAATGCTCATGCCAAGGTGCATGAATGGCATTGACATAATTTGTTGATCAGTCCCAGAGCTGTGACATTCGCTTTCAGGTACGCTGGAACAAATTGGCATACAAGGATTATTATTCCTTCCATGAGATATGTAAGGTAACTGTGAACTAGACAAATTGGTGTGAGATAGGCAACGACTAACAACTAAAGTTAAGCAGACCATACGGGTAAGTTGTGAGCTTTTTGTTCAACTTCATCCATCGATGAACCCTCCAATTCTTCGTAGAATTTAAGTTCAGGATCCTCTCCACGTTCCCAAGACGTGGGCTCCTCAGCATCAAAAAACTCATCATCAGCAACCTCGATGAATTTACTGGTTGATTCTTTAAGAGATGGTTGATTAGACACCCTATCTCTGTTTGATGACTCATCTTCACTCTCGGGTTTGGGCTCTGCACTCTCATAGAAGATGTCCTCATGTCTTTGGTGGTGTTCTTTCTTCATAGAAATGATTGGTTTCTCCTTCACCTTGTACAGCTCACGAATTGCTGAAACAGAGTTTATTCGCTGGGGTTAGTAAAACTGTGATCGTATCAACACACAGATAATAGTATACCTCTAGATCATGGCAAAAATCTATATAGATCATGGTTGAAATTTCCCTGCAGCTTTGCATGTTCTTATAATCACTTTCCTTTTTTAGCAGGAAAAAGGACACCTTGGAATCATCCCTTTCAACAAGCTCATTATGTATTTCCATCACAAGTGCCACATATGCATATTCTAAATGAAAGTTAGCCGCGAGAAATCCTCCAATACCAGACACAATCCTTGCCCGTCAAGGCACAAAGTCAACTGCTTCTGCACGCACTCATGCAAAAGTTGTAGAAGCAGAAAAAATAACCTGCTATACGCTCAAGCATGATAAGTGACATATCACGATTTCGGGACTTCCTCCAAAGAAACTCCCAACCTTTCCAATCCACTTTCATAATGTGCTTCACCATGCACCACTTAACCTTATCCTTTCTCCCCTTCAAAGGCGATATCACGAAGCCTCCACCTTCACAAACGGAATTTTCAAGTCACTCCGCAGCGTTGTTTTAGAAAATTGAGCACTTCTTTAATGACTGATATTAATTCCAATCCTCTAGCCAAAAAAGCACATTCTATTAGAACTAGGTAAAGCTGTCATTGACGACCAAGGAAAATGTCACGTTCTATCATTATATCACAAACCAAGGTGAGATTGGTTCTAAAAATGAACTGGTAAAAGATTGTCTCAAGAGATACGTGACACCGGAAAGAAACACAAAAGGTGAATTGAAGTGATATGAACAGTAAGCATTATCCCCAGTTCACAAGTCAAGGTTATCAGTAATAATAAAGAATCTTCATGAACTCACTGTGTAACCAAGCTCGTGTAAATTTCCTGCCAGGAGGACACTTTTCGTGATTGATGGAGTTGTAGAGTATAACTGCCATAAATTCGAAAAATATATGATTTTTTTGACAACATGAGATGCCAGTATCTAAGAACATAGAACATCAAATTTCAGACCAAAACTTTCAACCAAAACATGGATCTTTAGACTTAAACCAAACCAGACTTATAGGAACAAAATGTTTTCCAGATCTCTCACTTTGCTATGTTAACACCAGAGATTGCATACCATATGTCCCGTCATCATCACGACGCCAGTAACGCTGGAAAACCAAATCTCGAGGCTTCATGCGCCTACAACATCCCCAAAGAAATTACGCATTTACCACGTAAATAGCAATCATAACACTGATCAAGGACACAAAGTTCCTTCCAGTTCAGCTTCAACAATCAATCGTGATTTTAAAAGCTCTTTTACATTTCAAATGGGTACGATAAAATAACCTACCAAGGAAGCCACCTAGAATGAAATTGTTCGTGGATAATATCCGTATGCCCGTGAACGTTCTCTATGACTCGACCTTGGTGGAAGCAAAAATCCCATCTGCAGAAGACGTCAGTTGTGTGTTACCTACACATTGCGACACCTAAGATGACTGAAGCAGCCAGGATTAATGAGGTTAACCAACAGACTCTGTGCAGTGATTGCTGAACTTCTTGACAGCTTAATCAAATCTGGTCAAACCGAGTAAAACCAAAATTGTGATTGACAGACGTTCAAGTGCTTGACCTGTCTAAGCTATATTTTTGAAACCAGGTTATGAGACTAATTGTAGAACACTCACCCTCCAATTATCAATACCTATACACTGAAGTTCTGCGCATGAAAAACAACGCAACGTACGTTCATAATTTTCCAACTCCACCCAATCAATAACAGCAACACCGGATCGACGAGTGATCCATGTAATAGTCCCATCTAAAAGTATCATAAGACTTGCAGATTCGCAGAATGAAGTGCAGGATACACAGATCATCAACTTACTCAGCCCGTGAACGTCCCAAGGCCATAGCTGTTTCGAAGACACTTGCAGGGGTCGCATCTACCACCCCCACAGCCATTAGTGTTGGAATGTCGTCCCCACGGATCTATAGCACAGAAGAAGTCAGAAGATTAATTCGTGACCACATTCTCGCATCATTACAGATGTTGTAATGAAGCATCCAAAAATGAAGTTTGGATCTCAAGTTCGTACCAACATATACCGGGCATCGGCGGACTATGAATTTAATAACTATTTTGTGATTTTCTTTACAGATTTCTGTCATGTCCACTGCTCTGAGATTATTGCTGGCGGATTCATATCCTATTCCAAGTATGGGATTATTACAATGTTCCACGTACTTAGTGCGTCCCAAAGGAGCACAGTGTTCAGATACCTTTTCTAAGAGACTCTCATCTCCGTCGGAAGTTTCCTGAAAGAAACGTAGACCTGCATTTCCAATAGAACTCACATCAATGGAGAGTGAGAGACGTTCAGAATAAATAGATTATCTACTGGGTGATGCATTCAGATATATTATTGGGTTTCTAGCGTCTACTCGTGTGGATTTATGCCATAACTTACATGTTGAAGTAGAGATTGCCCCTACGGAGCAAAACTGGACGTGGGACAACAAATCAGTCATGCAGTTATAAGTAGCAGAAGTGGGCATAATTAATTTGGCTATCTCATCGTCCATCCTAGAACTGCCCGACGCAATAGAGAACAGATATCTTGCTAAAAAGTCTATATAAAGAAGAGGAAATTTACTATACGAAGATAAAGAGCAGAAAATTACACACCATTCTTGCACCCAATAATTTGCCAGGGGGAAGATGCAACCACATCAGGTGAGGCGTCCTTGGTAAGTAATCCACCCGTCCAATGATTTACTGCATGACCAGTGATATCTTAATATGGTATCAAATTCCGACAGTCGTTCATGTTACAGAACGAGATTTGATGAAGCATTTTTTGCACCTCACTGGCCACTAGTTTCAGAATCATCCTCAGTTTGCGCCGGTTATCCATAGAATGCCACCTCTTTTACATAGGCAAGTTGGTACTGTATGAACGATTCTATCTAAACAAAATGACATCTCAGAACCCCTGAAAGAAAGGTTTTATTAATGTACCGGACCTGCTTCAAGTGTGACAACACAGTCCTCTCCACCCAAAGCATCCGAAACTCCGGAAACATCCCGAAAAAGTCCACTTCCTTTCCTTCCCGATCGCCTGCATCATTTTTGAAGGTAACATGAATCAAATGCCTGAATCACTTATGAAATGATGTAGATGGTTGTCAAAGAAATAATGTTGTGCGTGACATTTAAGAGATTACTGCAAAACGATCTCGTTTGGTCAGACCTCAAATTTGGCAGACGCCTACGTCCTGGAGGTGAGGGAAGGAAAGTTTTATTGGTGCCTGGAGGCTGGGCCTGCGCAAGATCTATAAATTCAGCAAGTACAAATGCAATTTCAAACAACTAATAACTCCATCAATATTTGTCATGAGGAAAATGTGACATACTACCTCTTTCACATTCCAAATGACTTATCTACAAATATTAGGCCGAAACAGAATCAGTAATAACATTCAATCACTTCAGAAAATCCATACCCTTTCCGCAGCTTCCCTGAAAGCATGCATCCACTTTGCAGCATCCTCCGCATTCTGAACTCCAATCTGCACATAATTTGGTCACGCTTTACTAGGTTGACCACACAGCCATACTGCGCATCTGTTTGCCCAAAGTCTATACCTTCCTAGTAACCTGTTCAGATTGTGCCAGAAAGTTTCAAAGCAGGCTAGAAGCAAACAAGGAATGCTGCAAACTAGTTAAACTGAAAAACATCCATGGTCAACAGCGGTTTTCCTCACTCTAAGTTTCGCTTCAGGAGCGTAAGGATCGTATATGGAAAATACGAAGAAAACCTGCAAACCGGGAGTGGCTATTAAGTAAAAATTCAACGTTTCTGGACAGAAAAAACATGAGATGTGTCAAGGTTTTTTTTTTTTTTTTTTTTTTTTTTTTTGAGCATGTAGTGGGCTCGATCTACTTGTCAGCTTGAAGCACAAAACCTCCAAGCAGCCAGTTATGTTCCGATTCTATCGTGAACTTTTTTACAAATGCCTGGAGTCAATTGCAAGAATGCCAGCCAACCAAACCAACCAAGAAATATCGTTTTTCATCATGATCCTTGAAAAAGAGGAGACGGGCTGGAGCAAGCTAACACGGCCATGGACGGTTTCGCGGCCGTGGTCAATGACTCGTGTGTCCGGGTCAATAATGCCTGATCTCACAAGAATCTGCAAAACAACAAGGAATAATAAAATCATAAAATAAAATAAAACGTTCCGACTTCATTCCAGTTTGAACAATCTCCTACTCTACTAAAATAAGCAATAAATAATAAATAATAAACGCATACAAATTTCGCAAATAAAATAATAGCGACTTCTAGATTACAGAATCTAAGCATACACAGAAAACTTGTTACTCTGACAATAGATGCCGCCCTTCAAATGCATCATTCTTCACACGAATATCAAGGAAAAACAAAGAAGTACCTCAACACCAGTTCTGGGTTTATCCTTGAAAGAGCTAGCTCGAATTCCCTCAAGAACCAAATATCGCTTACGAGGGTGATTTAATCGCAGTTTGCTAGAGCTCAGATAATACACCCAACCCTCCATTCTCGTACCAGCGATATCTCCCATGGTTTAGTCCCCCCCCACCCCAAAATTCGATTTGCACTGCCAACCTTTGAAAAACGCAATGCACTAGGTTTTAGAGTGGAAATAATTTTTGAAATGCATACATAATAGTGAAGGGCAAAATTTGCATAAGCTCTTTGAGGCTGGTATCATGCTTACGTTGAGTCGAGAGACATTCAAACACAAACCAAACAGAACGTACTGGACAAGCCCAAAAGCAACATTGCCAAGTAATCAATTTCAAAAAAACACACACACCACCTTGAACTAAACAATCCTCCTTATTCATAATGCACACAAAGCAGAGTCTCTCACTGAAATCTAAGACACGAAAGAGAGAGACTTAAAACGACGACGTCAACTGCACAGCTATAATTAAAACAAAAGAGAAATAAAAAGCGATGGACAAATCCTAATGCGCTAACCTTGGACCGTGGACAAGAGCAACCAGCAAGAATGACATCCCTCCCCTTCTATATTGCCAACTCAACCCAACGTATTGTGTCACGATCTCATGGTACGCATCGCTCCGTCGTGAAACGAGCTCGAGTGGAGACAAGAATTTGGTCTAGCATCCGCGACACAACAAGCATGAACACGGCGATTCCATTACATAACTACAGCGGCGGCTTAATTGTACTGCCCGCAAAGGCCATCTCAACCTCAATATGGAACGAAGTCCGGGGCGTCCACAAAAAAAGGCAGCAGCTCCAACAATAACAACAAACAACAACAGAGATGGGGATGCGGATGGGGATGGAATTGGGTGAGCGAGGAGGACTTGGAGGGGCAATCTTGACTGCCTTCCTGCATGCGGAATGAATGAATGCATGCCATTGGGCCCCCCCCACCCCAGGGCACAGGAAAATGCTCCGCCCAGCGTCTCCATCGCGACAAGTGTTCTTTTCCACGTGTCTTGGCCCCACTAGTCGAGTACAGACACATGTCGTCCTTTCGCTTTCTGAATCGCTCCACGTCACCTTACATCCCCAAAGTTAATTAAATCAATCAACGTCAGTCTTCGGAGGATATTGTTGTACGCTTTTGTATTTATCGTAGTCGTATGAAATACGCCAGCTCTGTGTACACGACGTACGTGAAGATGCCCTGCGGAACGATACGGAACGGTCTATTCGATAGTTGGTTCGTTAGTTGGTTGGAAGGTTGGAAAAAATCGCGGTTGATAATGGATTCTGAATATATAATTGCATCATTTTTTCAGTATTGATATTTTTTAAGCTGAATTTATTGCTAGCGAATGTAGATGATGTTTCATACTGGATATGGATATTTTTTCGATTCTTGGTAATCCTCATTCACTTCTGATTTTCTCAGCTAAATGTGAAATTTAGTAAGCTGGGTTGTGCAAAATTTTAGAACTCATTTCTTGGTGTAGATTGGATAATACACAATATTGACGATTTAAAGGTATAGAAAAACTTCTTTTAAAATATTGATGATGATAGTATTAGTTCAAATATATCATTTTTTTCCTTATTATAATTAGTACACGTTGCACATCTTATACTCAAAAATCCCATATCTTATCATTTTTGTTTCATTGAATTTCAAATTTCATTTTGTATTTTATTTTTTCTAATTATAGAATTTTAATACTGCTGTATTGATCCTTGTTCAAAACATTGCAAAACCATTTTAAGTAGTAAAAAAAATAAAAAATCTACTTTAAATTGTAATTTAATGTGTTATTAAAAATATATATTTGTACATGTAAACCAATTGATACGACATGATATTTTGAGGCTTATAATTGTGCATGTATTAGAGAATCTCAATTTTTACAGTATAGTTTCAATTACATCTATAATTTCATTGAATATGTTTATGACACAAACATATTTGAAAGGAAACTTACAAAGTAGTTCATAACATATTAATGTTATATTGTTTCTGTCAAATTGGTGGATGGATTAATCAACAATAGATGTACATCCAAAAAGTTTTCAAGATTGATGGTGTCAAAATAATAATAATAAAAGCCAAAAAATAAACATAAAAGATTATGATGATAAAAAAATTAATTATACAAAAAATTAAAAATATTATGAATATTGTGAAACAATCATAATTGGATAAAAATTCAAAATTTGAAATTCTAGTACAAAGAATATATTTATCCAAGCTCGTAGACTTACTCAATTAAAAGATTAAAATAGGGATTTTGGAACCATTTTTGGCACTCTATTCTAATCAATGGTTTATAGTACTAAAAAAAATGAAACAATGAGATTTATTCAAGACATGCAATCTGTAAATAAAGTAACTATTATAAATATGTATTCAAGGCCAATTGTGGATGACTTTATAAAAATATTTGTTGGAAGAAAAATCTATTCAATGAGTGATCTTTAATGAGGATACAATCAATTTCAATTGGCATTACAAAATAAAAATTTAACTGCTATAAAGATTCTATAAGATTTAGTAAGAATGTATACATTGCCTTAAAAAGCTATTAATTCAATGGTTCATATGATGAATGAAATGAATAAAGTGTTAAGGGATTTTATACCAAAAATTGACTATGCCATTCTTAGATGACATTCCAATTAAAAGATACATAGAAAGAAAAATAGATGACACATTGGGTCAAAGAAGATATCAAAGATTTGTTGCAAATTATATTCTAGATTGTGAAAAGATTTCAATATAGTTAGAAGAGATAAATTTGACCTTATTAGGTGCAAAATCTATGCTTGGAATAAATAAAATTCTTATTGTTGCGTACATATATAGACCATATGGATGCAAGTCAAGTATTGAAAAGGTTGATATTATTAAAAAGATATGCAAATATAATAAAAGTCAAAAGGTTTTTTAGGAGCAATTATTTTCTAACATATATGGATGTCTCATTTTACACATGTAGCAGATCTAATATATTATAGAGTTACTTTAATAAAATCAATAAAAAGCTAAAAAAAATTAAAGAAATTTCTTTCTTCACCTCCAATATGAAAAAAATGAATTATAAATATGAAATGCCTATGGTATTAATAGTTGATATAAGTCCATTTGAAATAGGTTAAATAATTAGACAAGATGATGAATATATAAATAAGTATGTAGTAAAGTTTGAAAAAAAGGTTTTAAATATTAGACAAAAGGCATATGTACAAGTTAAAAGAAAATTATAGAATATAATAATTACTATAAAAAATAAAAAAGAATATTTAATTGATGCATTGATAGTTATAAAAATAGATTATATATATATATATATATATATATATATATTAGGCATGTTTACAAGTTATTTAACTCTAAATATTATTATGTTAAGATCAATAATATATTTCAAATCTATGAATCCAAAGTTTAAGCTCATTGTAAGAAAAAAAAAAAAAAAAATCAATCGCAAATATATTATCAAGGCCAATGTATTATAATAAAGAAGATATGATTGATTTGGTAGATGATGTGTATGCAAATTTTTATTCCAAAGGATTATTAAAAGAAGAAGTTGTATGTTTAAATACACCATTGGAATTATTTATAAGAGATTTATATAAAAATGAATGAAGAGATGTTGAAAAATATTTAAGTACATTAAAGCTATAAGAAAGATGAATAAAGAAAAAATATAATAGAAAATCTTTAAAAAGGCCTATGGATATTTTTTTTACGTGATAGATATCTATTGAAGCATCCAAAGAAAAGAACAGAAATACTATAATAAATGATATGTGGTTTAGAAGCTTAACAAAAAGATTATCAAAGAATTCCATAAAAATTTATGAATAAGGTATGAAGAAGTTTGGATAGTTTTTATTAAATTAAAAAAATATCAATAGAAAGATATATATAAATATATATATATACAAGAATATGGCTAAATTTATAGGATTATGTGAAATTTTTTAATTTTATTCTAATATTTGGCATTGAGATGGATTACATCTAATATATCTTTTAATACTATATTATAAGTCGATGGTGGATTTAGTGGCAATTCTTATGGAAACTAAACAAATAAAATATTTGATTCTTGCTTAAGAAGATTTATTAAATATGATTAAAAAAAAGAATTAAAAACAAAGAGTATTAAAATTATATATTGATATTTTTTAGAAGATGTTATTTGTTGCTATAATTGTATTAAAAAAATCATTGCAAATAGAGGTGAATTAGATATAAAAGAATAAGACAATTTTTTAATTAGATAGAAATTAAACTTTCTTTGATAATAGCATATAATCCAAAAGATAATAGAAAGAGTGTCACAAACATACATAAGTTATCTAAATAAGAAGTATTAGATAAAAGATAAATATAGGTAGATTTAATAATATCTTATGATAAAGCTTCTTAAAAGCTACATATATGTATATTTGACTTTAAACATATTTTTAGTTAATTTATAGGTTGAAAACTTAGCCAATAAGTTAGCCACATGTTACGCATATTGGTGACTTGTAGTACAAGTTGGCCATGTGGCACACATGTAGGAAACTTATTTTGTAAATTAGATGCATATCTTGTAGATTGAACACTTTTTGGAGGTCCTATAGAATGTTGCCATATAGCTCCTAATTAGATAGTATATATAGACAAGAATGAAGTCTTTTTACTCTTGTCAATGCCTTTTTATTCCTTAGTCTTGTCTCAAGAGTCTTTAGTTTTCTTATCTTTTGTAATAGTCATTCTAATTTAATATTTTATCATCTTTGAGTGATTATATACTCTTTTTTAATGAAAAAAGAGTATATTGATTTTTTGATTCTTATGATTCATATCCTTGACAACTCAATACTTAAGAATTTTGGTCAAATTTGTTTGTTTTTTTTTTTTTTTTTTTTTTTCAAAATTTTAAGTCCTAAAATTGTATATTATCACCTATGATCATGAGTAGGATCTAATCATGTGGATCTTATCACCTTCGCTCTTATTATTACATAGATCCTATAACTATGTTGTTCATATATAATTGTATAATATAAGGTGCTATTACAAATGTAATTGCTTATCACTACAAATTATTTTTTAAAATCATCAAATCATTGCTCTTATATGTGACTTCAATCTACTCACACCAACTTTGTAATAAAGCCTTCATACACATAGTACTATATAATAACCAAAAATTTATACACAACCAAATTCTTCCTTTTTGATTTGCTTGCAATAATTAAGATAATTCTAGTTAGTTTCATCTCCTCTAATTAGTGGTATGCTTAAACTCAGTAGGTATCTTTCTTGATTAAAGATCTCTTACAAGATTTTTTTTTTTCTTCTTAGCTTGCAATAAAGAATAAATAATCTACTTTGGACTCCAAATCTTAAAAATACTACAATATCACTATAATACTATCAAATATTACTATATCAAACCTATTAAATTACAAATAGTTGCTAATGTCACACCCCACCTATCTTCTAGTGTTTCATAACAACCAAAGGTTGCCCCTTTATTCTACACTTCTTCAAGAGCTCATTTGACTATGACTACAAAGTTTCAACACCATATCTTTGTACTACACCATTCTAGCACTATACACTACAACCAATTCGAACGCACTCATGTTTGGTGCCATAATACCCTAATATCTTGATGTACACACTTTCAATAGTATTGTAATATCTGGTGCTTTAATTTTATAATTAGAATCTAGTATTATAATACCCAGTATTCAAAAGCAAAATAATACTATAGTATCCAATAACACAATAGTATAACAATCCAAAAAAATAATAATCCAAAAATTTTAAGAAAATTTTATAATTATTATTATTTTAATCTATTCTATTTCAATTTCCTAAACAAATTGAAGTGGAGAGGATAT